TTTTTCGTGATTGGAAATTTTAAAAACATTATTTAATACAAAGTTTGATAGAAAGGTATTTTCCCTCATAATCGATGAAACATCTATTGTTATGTTGGTTAATTTGGTTTCATTAACTAATATGAAACTATTACTTTTTGTGTATTGGAAAACACCGGCACAAGGCAGAATTTGATATTCACTATACATTTGACCCGTAAGTTCCAGATTATGTTTTCCTTGATGAACTTTCACAAATGCAGTACTACATGATAACTTGATCGTTATGCTGCTGCCGCTGGTGATAATGACCAGTTACGGTTGAATAACATCCAGATGCAAGTTAAAAGCATATGCAGGACTAGAACATGTTACATTGTAATGAGATATAAATATGTAAACCTAGCTAAGTTCTAGATGGACAGACTGTTCCAGATTTTTAACTTGCTAAATCACAAAGTAAACCCACAGGAAGATAGTATTCTGAATCCAATCCTACCAGCTTTCGCTCTTACTCCTTAATGCTGCATGTCAGAGGAAAAGCAGCAAATACTAACTTTTAAGTCTGTGAATTGACTTTGCCGGAGTTCGAATCAACGACCACCGGCTCTGGAGGCGAGTATGGTAATAAAACAAAATAATTAACAGTTGTTGATTAAACATTTGCAAAATTATTCATATTTCAGTTAAAGACAAAACATTCAATTTATAAAGAACAAAATAAGTTTATAATAAGGGAGGGAATATGTATAGACATAATATCTTTTTTCATTATTTTGATATTTCTGTTGCAGAAAAATTACTCTAAATAAAACTGAATTTATGACAAACGAAACGAAATCGTTCCCTTTTAGTGATTTGTCTGAACAGTGGTGTTCTTTACTGGGCATATGGACATATAGCAATTAAACAATTAACTTTTCTTACGATGTGTACATTTTTTATCTTGTTTGCTATGCCCATGTTTGAGGTGACGACTTGCTTGAATTTCAATGAACTTGATCTATGTATAAATTATTACCACAAAGTAACTTTAAAAATTTATTGAACTTTTTCTTAGATATCAAGTTTTGGCTTGAAAATTTGGCTTCTACTGAAATCTTTTATAAACGAGGGATCTCTCTTCCTAAAGTTTACGGTGATGCTGCATACAGAACTCTGTAATTGATATACGATCCAAGATTACCTATCCGACTTAGACTAAACTATTTCTTAAAGGCTGTCAATTAAACACTGTAGTAAGATACTTGAATATTGTCGCTATCGTACTCATGTTATTTTCATTAATTTTATGACAACATGATATTATATGGCTACTATCTAGTTAATTTTATCACCTATTGTCCTGTATCCTGTGGACACTCATAATATTTTGTCATTGTAATAGGTCGTGCTTTTATAACACTGTTTATGACGTTTTAACATGTACTCCGTTCCTCGTGTTAAAGTCTTATAGAGATACAAGAATATGTGGAATGAGTGCCAATGAGACAACTCTCCATCCAAGTCACAATTTGTAAAAGTAAACCATTATATGTCAAAGTACGACCTTCAACACGGAGCACTGGTTCACACCGAACAGCAAGCTATAAAGGGCCCCAAAAATGACTAGTGTAAAACCATTCAAACAGGAAAATCAACGGTCTAATCTAGATAAAAAACTAGAAACGGGAAATACTTATGAACCACAACAAAAAATGACAACCACTGAACATCAGGTTCCTGACTTATACATTCTTTGCTTTCATAATTTAAGGTTTGATCGTTGATGATATGGTTAAATCCAACAAAGCGCTTCGAACGCACGAAATTAAGTGCACTACAAGTGAGAGGTTTAGCTAGGTATAAAACCAGGTTTAATCTACCATTTTCTACACAAGAAAATGCCTGTACCAAGTCAGGAATACGACAGTTGTTATCCATTTGTTTGATGTGTTCGAGCTTTTAATATTGCCATTTGATTAGGGACTTTCCGTTTTGAGTTTTCCTCGGAGTTCAGAATTTTTGTGATTTTTCTTTTTAATAGTGTTATATTAACTGCAGATGTACTGATTTACATTTTAACGTGAAATAAATAGGAAAATATGGCATATTTACATGTTTATATGTTTGAACTGGCTGGCTGTGAATGAGAAGCAATATCATAGTGGTTGGAGTTGGTTAGGCCAAAATGTGCATGACCTGTAGTTGTTTAAATCCTTGGTCTTTGGTGGATAATTGTCTCTTGGTGAATCATACAACATCTCATTGTTTTATATCAATTTGATGAGGTATCCTTATTACCGAGAAATCAAATGATCAAAATAAAAGTTAAAATAAAATGTATTCATTGTTAATTGGTATAATGTAAACTGTAAGAGTCCAAATAAATTTCTTAAAACTGTAAGAGTTCATTTTTACCTTGGACTCTTTGAGTTTTAAGACATTTATTCCTCCTCCCAAACATCAATATTGAAAAAAAATTACCAGCGTATTGATTATTGATAGTTTGTATAGCATTCAATATTTTTATTTCAGTTTGACTACCACATGTCAAGATAAGATTCATTTTACATCTTACTGATGAAGGATATTAGTTATCCGAAATATCTAAAATTTGTTCATGATTTAATTAATTTTTGGTGATGTTGTACCCTTTTAGACTTGTTATATATATTACATTATACATATTTATTAACAGGTTAACTCCTAACTATCCTACTGCCTATCGATACTTTTATTTTGGCATTGCACAAGTCATGTCTTCTTTAACTGTCCATGACGTTAAAACACTAAGTCCCTGGTATGTATTTTAGTTGATTTCAGTCTCTGATACAATTTGTAATGTAGTTTTTGTTATTTAATGTTTACTTATTCAGTGTTATATCTAGCCTCACTATTTTTGATATATACCACCTTTTTAATGACCTCCATATTGACATCACAAATGACATTACCGAAATGAAATGTCGAGAAAGCTAGTTAAAATCCAAAAACAATTAACAATAAAAAATCATGCATCAGAGACTAAAATCAACTAAAACACATCCCAGGGACTTATTGTTTTAACGTCATGGACAGTTAAAGAAGACATGACTTGTGCAATGCCAAAATAAAAGTATCGATAGGCAGTAGGATAGTTAGGAGTTAACCTGTTAATAAATATGTATAATGTAATATATATAACAAGCCTAAAAGGGTACAACATCACCAAAAAATAATTAAATCATGAACAAATTTTAGATATTTCGGATAACTAATATCCTTCATCAGTAAGATGTAAAATGAATCTTATCTTGACATGTGGTAGTCAAACTGAAATAAAAATATTGAAAGCAATACAAACTGTCAATAATCAATACGCTGGTAATTTGTTTTCAATATTGATGTTTGGGAGGAGGAATAAATGTCTTAAAACTCAAAACGTCCAAGGTAAAAATGAACTCATACAGTTTTAAGAAATTTATTTGGATTCTTACAGTTTACATTATACCAATTAACAATGAATACATTTTATTTTAACTTTTATTTTGATCATTTGATTTCTCGGTAATAAGGATACCTCATCAAATTGATATAAAACAATGAGATGTTGTATGATTCACCAAGAGACAATTATCCACCAAAGACCAAGGATTTAAACAACTACAGGTCATGCACATTTTGGCCTAAACAACTCCAACCACTATGATATTGCTTCCCATTCACAGCCAGCCAGTTCCAACATATAAACATGTAAATATACCATATTTTCCTATTTATTCCACGTTAAAATGTAAATCAGTACATCTGCAGTTAATAAACACTATTAAAAAGAAAAATCACAAAAATTCTGAACTCCGAGGAAAACTCAAAACGGAAAGTCCCTAATCAAATGGCAATATTAAAAGCTCAAACACATCAAACAAATGGATAACAACTGTCGTATTCCTGACTTGGTACAGGCATTTTCTTGTGTAGAAAATGGTAGATTAAACCTGGTTTTATACCTAGCTAAACCTCTCACTTGTAGTGCACTTAATTTCGTGCGCTTAAATTATTTTGTTGGATTTAACTTTATCATCAACGATCAAACCTTAAATTATGAAAGCAAAGAATGTATAAGTCAGGAACCTGATGTTCAGTGGTTGTCATTTTTTGTTGTGGTTCATAAGTGTTTCTCGTTTCTAGTTTTTTTATCTAGATTAGGCCGTTTGTTTTCCTGTTTGAATGGTTTTACACTAGTCATTTTTGGGGCCCTTTATAGCTTGCTGTTCGGTGTGAACCAGTGCTCCGTGTTGAAGGTCGTACTTTGACCTATAATGGTTTACTTTTACAAATTGTGTCTTGGATGGAGAGTTGTCTCATTAGCACTCATACCATATTTTCTCATATCTATTGTATGTTTTTTCAATTTTAGCTCTATTATGTAAGAGAGGGACGAAAGATACCAGAGGGACAGTCAAACTCACAGATCGAAAACAAACTGACAACGACATTGCCAAAAATAAGAAGACAAATAGACAAACAATAGTACAGATGACACAACATAGAAAACTAAAGACTAAGCAACACGAACCCCACCAAAAACCGGGGTTGATCTCAGGTGCTCCTGAATGTGTTTCGGAGTTTAGTGTGACGTCTATTTTCACTGAACTAGTATACACTTTTGTTTAGGGACCAGTTGAAGCCCGCCTCCGAGCTCGGGTTTTTCTCGCTGTATGTAGGACCCATTGGAAGCCTTGGGCTGTTTTCTGCTCTTCCGTCTGGTTGTTGTCTCTTTGACTCATTCCCCATTTCCATTCGAAATTTTATTTATTGAAAAGATCTAAAAGTTAGTTTTTTCTTCTTTTTACAAAAATAAGAGGATGTGGTATGATTGCCAATACAACAACTCACCACAAGAGACCAACTGATGTAAAAGGACACAACTATAGGTCACCGTACGGTTCCCACTTGGGACAAGTACACACAGAGTGTTGCGGGGTTAAACATGTTTGGCAATGTCCAATACCTCAACATAACCTGATACAGTGGTGTGAGAGTACAACATAAGAACAAACTATTTTTGCAGAGTTCATTAGATGAAAGAAATTCTTATTAACAAAGATATTGATTTTAACAAAATTAAACTATACGCCCTTATATGCAGATTATGTCTTGTGAATATCTAAATGATAGATTTAAAACTATGTACTTTTTGTTATCAAATTGACATGGCCCATAATGTGGCCTTCTGATACGGCTCTATTGTCTTTTACAACATGTCACAACAATATGTACCTATGGTTAATAAGTCAGCAACAGAACTACACAAATATCTAAAACACAATTAGAACTTTACATGCAGTATTCACCAATAGACGGATTTCTTAACAATAAACAGGGAAATTTCCCTCACGTAAAAAGATTTCACGTGAGTTTAACGCGAATATCATGTGAAACTCATGTGAATTTAACCTGAAAATCACATGAAATTTTTTACGTGAAATACACGTGCATTTTAGAAATAACATTAAAATTTTCCAAAAAAAAAGTAAAATAACAAAAATAGCGAACTCCAAGAAAAATTCAAATCGGAAAGTCCCTTATCAAATGGCAAAATCAAAATCTTTCAAACATCAAACGAATGAAAGCAACTGTCATACTTCTTACTTGGTATAGGCATTTCTTTGTGTAGAAAATGGTGGATTAAATCAAATTTTATCAAAATCATGAAAAATATCATTTTTTTGGGTGGTAAATATCATATTAATTTACGTGAAAATTTCGTATGTGAGATTCACGTGAGTTTCACATATAAGCTTGTTTGAGGTGAATTTTACATGACATTTTTCACGTGATTTTTACGTGAGATTGATGTAAATTTCACGTATTACTAAGCAAAATTTGCCTATGTATGCTGATTTAAAAAAAGTATGTATATTGATTGAACACTTGTCAATACATTCTTTTTAAAAAAAGATGATTGAATCCGTCAAACTAACACACCTTATTTAAAAACTATCCTTTTTGGACACATATTTAAAATAGTGATACGGCAAAATATCCCAATTTAAGTGAACAGTTTGATTTGGTCTAACATAGCTTTTTGCAATCATTCAGTTCATCTTATTTGTTAGTTTCTATTATTTGTTCATCAATGGTAAGTTAAAAATGTAAAAAACAAGAAGTCAATGTTTTCACCATCGACAGTGTCACAAGGAATTTTCAACAAATAGAGAAGATTTTTCTGAAGTTGTCTTATACGTTTGTTCTCCTTTAATCGGAATTGCACACCCAGGTGTGTTTCATTTCTGAGATCTATTTGTTTTCTGTTGTATCGTCTCCTTTTTTCACGGGAGCTGTATATCCATATTTGTTTCTTTTAAGTTCTGAAGTATCTTTGTCTTGATTAAACGTTTTAACGACAGTGACAATGCTATTGTAATAGGTATGTGGTTTTAGATATCCAAGATCGTCTTCATCGGAGTTCTTTCGTCTGAGTGCTTTTTTATTGGCAAACCGTGGAATTGCGTATACACCGTCATCAAGACTGTGAGAAACGTCAGCAAGACTGTGAGAATCATCCAAGTCTGTGATTTCATCATAGTGATGTGTCTGAATTTCAGGATAAATCTGTGCTTGGTCACGTATGGAAGAAGTGTTAGGGTTTTTTCGGTGCCTTCGCTGGATGCAAAACCTTAAATTATTCAAATAATAGCAAAATAGAAAATATCTCTTCTGAGAGACATAAGAAAATGTGGTATGAGTGCCAATGAGACAACTCTCCATCCAAGTCAAAATTTATAAAAGTAAACCATTATAGGTCAAAGTACGGTCTTCAACACGAAGCCTTGAACATTGAAGTAAAAAGTCAATATTTTGTGTATTATTCCTAAATTTGTCATTCGAAATCATATTATAATAGAATTTAAAAAATCTAATATTGGAGCTATTTTTCAATTATTTCATAGATACAGAGATTTGGTTAGGAATTTTGTCTGTACCTTCTTATCACAAACGGGATATCAAATCCCATTTTTTAATGTGATGTTGTTCATAAGTCCCGTCAGTCAATGTCAACACATTGATTAATCCTTCGACTAAATTCAAATTTAAAGGATATCTATTTAACACCGTGGTTAGTTCTTTAAATTTTGTTTTATCGGTACAAATACTTTTGTTTTTAATAAATTAAAACATAGATACATCTGTATCTTTATACAGTTATGAAAACTTATGGTCCCATATCCAATCGAAATCATATACTTATTTTAGCATTTTACAAGGTCATGCTTTGCTCGGACTGTTTATGAAGAGTTTACATTAAATCAGTTGGGTTTTACCTGATCCATACATTATTCTAGGAGAACAAGATTTATTTATTTGTTGCTGTTTTTGAATAAGCTTTCATTAACTGCGAGTACTCCTCGGTCTTCATGTGCATTTGTTTTTCTGCTTCTTGCCAATCTAATGAGTTAATTCATTTCCGACTGATTTCTACGGGTTGTTCTAATGTTATGCTGTTACTCCACTGTCCCGAGTATTGGGAGGATTAAACGCTCACAAACATGTTTAACCCCACCACATTTTTAAATGTGAATGTCCCAAGTCGATATTCTGTTATTCAGCAGTTGTCTTTTTCGTTTATAGTTTTGTCACTTAAGTCAGGCAATTGTTTTTTCGTTTGACATGTGACACTTGAAACCGCATTTCCATATTTTTATATTATCCGTAAAACCATCTGAATACTTTTGGAGTTCATTCGATTTCATCAGATTGTTTTTTATTACATTTATGTGTTTTTCCTGATAAATATTTGAGATTTAAATCTTAGAAAAATACTTTTGATTAAATATTTACCACGAAAAATAACTGATTCAGAAAAAAACCTGTTAATTCTTGTAGGATATTGATAAAAAAACTATAACAAATGATAAGCATAGAGAGAGGAACATGTTTATATACATTTAATCATAGCCAGGTTGTTCCTGCCTCTCCTAACATAATTTTTCATATAGTTTGAACGAGGTTTTTTTTCTTTTTTTCCCCTACAAGATAGCTTTTAATGCACAGACTCTATACATTGAAATTGAAACTATCGATTTAAACATTTGTGGTGTCTGTGATGATACGATTTATAGTTATTTCTGTTGTGTTAAAAATCACTACAAGAGAATTTATTTTCAAAATTAGGAAATAAAATATTAATGTCTAAAAGCGTCAGTTTATAATCCATTCAAAACGCTTAACTGCCATGTACACATCCAAGTTTTTGTTGGGGTAGTTTTGATCAATAATGATGTTTTAAGTTTTCAATGTAGTATTGCGTGAATTGTTGTTTGTTTTTATGTTATTTCTAAATTTTCTGTTACAAAATTTAGGAAAATTATTTTAAATTAAGGAATATAACTATCATGCAAAGCTCTGATTCCTTGCCAGGCTCTGGCTACAGTTTTTGTCCTTTTTGGTTTATAGACTCTTCATTTTTATAATACGTTTTGGTTTTTCAAATATGACCTCGAGCTTCACTGAAGAGACATTCATTGTCGAAATGAGCATCCGGAACAGGAAAATTGGTACCGTTAATATTATTATAAAATAGGTCATGTTCTTTTTCAAAATTATTCATATATTGTTATCAATTGGTATTTTTGTCATTATTACGCTTTTGGTCAAGTTTTTCTCATTGTCGAAGTTCGTATGGTGATCTATAATTGCGTGTATCTTCATTATTTAAACTCTGGTGGATAGTTTTCTCATTGGCAGTCATATCACATCTCCTTTTGTTATCATTTTCTAATATTCAATAGATCATTATATAAATAACACATAGCTGGGAGGGTGATAGAGCAGATTGTTACCTCGAGAAAACATTGTCAACTGAGGCGAAGACAAGGTTGACAATGTCTTTTCGAGGGGTAACAATCTGCTCTATCGCCCTCTCTGATATGTGTTATTTAATTTATTATACTGAATGTTCTGTTATTACTGTCTATTAAATTTCAAAATCAAAGTAATAAACTATGACGTCCTATACATAACAACCATCCGTTTTTAATAAAGCGCACACTTGATCAAGCGTCTCCGCGAAGGGTAATAGAGTTTTTACCAAAGGATAGAGTAAATTTTCTCCCTCGTATTAACCAAGCAAAATCTGGGATTTTGACATTAAGTATAATAAGATGGATTATTATATACAATTAGTAAATGATTCATTCGTTATTAAACATTCAATAAACAATATAATTGACAATATTGTAAATACTTGTAGTGTCTTTTAGTTATGAAATAATAAAATTGTAAAACATGATTGAATAACCTTACATAGATAAAATCATACTTTTATACCAAGAATACATGCACTATATCCTTACGTTATAGTTCAATTATATATAATTTGAAGCAAATGCAGTAAGGAATAGACTTCCGATTATGATCATTCCTTTCATACATAATGATACTAATGGTTAGTATAGACATAAGTTTTAAAAAGAATGTTTTATGCTGATAAAGTTTAGGAATTACAGTACTGTACATTTAAGTGACATGTGAAGCAGGATAATTCTTACCAGTTTGATTTGTTTTACATGTGTATATTTCAGGATTTGTTGTATTTAAGGTATATCCAATTACGTTTAATCATATGTATTAACAATTAAATAAATTAACTTACGCCAAGATCGCAAATATAACACACAAAAAGAGAGCAATGGATACTGCAGTTAAATGTACTTTGTAGTTTTCTGAAATTTGACACAGATACATTTTAACAAGAAAGTGTCTTCAGCTGAAATTTTACAAATGATGCATATTCATATCTGATAGCGAAACAAATAAATATGCAATGAATTTTAAATCTAATGTTCCTGATTTTTTGTTGTTGACGCCAAATTGTAACTCCCTCAACTTAGGACCTTAGACGGTTGTGGCTGCTAAGTTTGCAATTTGTTTTACTTCCACATGCTAATTGGACTTGGGCTTACCTGATAAAGGTTACTATTTGTGTATATAGTGTACAACGGTTAGGAGTATGTGTGTGTTTGTGTGATAGAGAGAGACGGAGAGTTATAAATAACGAAATGTATGATAAACCGTAGTTTGATAATAATCAATTGACTAGTTGTTGGTTTTGTCCTATTTCCTTTTGTAATCGCTATGAGTAATCATAGAACATTGATGTGCACAAAAATATAATTCCATTTGGTTTATTTGTGTATTATTTTCCGAAATTAATCTTTTTCCATTTTCAGATTATTTGACAGTTCTATTTATATCTTAACAAGTGTAAGGAAGCACTACATTTTATATGTTAATGATATTAAAAAGCAAATTGGGCAACATCATTATCGTTGAGAAATTATAGTTGCAAATTTAACAATTTAGACGTAAAGAAAAGTTTCCTTTTCACACCAGGCTATTTTATAAGGTCTTTCAATCATCACTTAAATTCAAAGTTTCACAAAATTATGTAAACTTTTGGTTTAGAAACATAATGACGTATTTCTGAATGCTTAACTACCTTAAAAAAACGTCTGAATATAGCTCAAAACTACAATTGTGGTCCATTTTGACAAATTATTTATAAAAGTTTTGCAAATTCTTTTCAAACAATCTAAACCATAAAAAAAAATCTGCCTGATATTTTGAGCTATGTCTTTCATATCATCTTTTAAATTAACTTTGGTTTGATTGACGATGTCACTCGATCCATCATTTTACAAAGACCTGTAAAATTTGTCATACAGTTCTGAATTGCACCCTACAGCAATGTTTATAGCTGAATAAACTTTCTACTGTTTTCAATAAATTTCCGACTGTGACTTCATGAATCAAACGAGTACAGAAAAAAATGACCGTAACTCCATGTCGCCATATTCAGCTGATACATACAATGATTTATATTAGAAAATATACATTTCCTTTTAATGTGTACCTTTACATGATGGTGTTTCTGGACGTGCCACACGAGAACCTTTATGTTCTTTGCCATTTGTATTCACACACCAACAATCCTGCTGATTGCATTGCATTTCCTCAAAATCTCCACTGGCTGTGCACGTTGGTTCGTGTTGTGTTCTAAACTCTCTTTTGAACAGAACTGAACTGAATAAACAATTCTTCAAATTTTTCCCTGTAAAAATTATTAGATTTTTTTCAATACAATGTCAAACTTACATTTATCTTGCACGGAAAACAATCACAAACATACATGCACAGCTTAGAAGTATTGATTTATCTTTACAAATATAGAATTTGTAATTGAATAACATTCAAATGATAACAACATATGCCTTCAAGATCAGAAAAAGTATCTATTCACAGTCTGTGCATATTTCACGGGTGTCACATGTGGAGCAGGATCTGTTTACCCTTCTGGAGCACCTAAGATCACCACCAGTTTTTGGTGTGGTTCGTGTTGCTCAAGTCTTCATTTTACTATGTTGTGTTTAGTGAACTATTGTTTGTCTTTTTCTTTTTTAGCCATGGCGTTGTCATTTAAATTCCGACTAATGAGTTTGAATATTCCCTTGGTATATTATGCCTCTCTGTTTTAAAAGAGTTTAAGTGAAAAAACGCTAAAAAGATTCAAAGCCAAAAAAAAAAAAAAAAAAATCATTATGCCTTTCTGATTTGTGTTTTTCATCTTAGATTTTTGTTTTCCATATTTATATTTAATAGACTTTACATCTTGTGGTAATCGAACTCGATATCAAACGGTACGAGTATACACTCATCAATTAGGACGTTGTGTTATTATTGATAAACTTTGGGTATTTTACACAGTTTCCTCGTGCTCAATTAAATCCTCCTTGGCAATCTTCTCAAAATCAAGAGTTCGTGGATTCAATTTCTTGCATGGCGAAGGCAAAGACTTAAAAATCGGTGTTTTGGTTATTTTCAGCTCGATACAATATTGTAGGAGTCAGTAAAAGACTTATCGATACACCATCTAGAACAATGATTACCCACATGACATGCGTTCATTGCTCTGTTTGAATGGTACTTAATGAAGTAACACATCTTGTGATACATGATTCATAACATTTTCATGGTCTAAGGAGAATTTTAAAATTATTTGCTTAACACCTACATTCAACCGAACGACCGCCCATCCTATCATGATCTGATTCACATTAATTTTAATATAATTAAGAACTTTAGCATACATCTATTTGATCACATCATCAGGAATTTATTAACAAAGAATAAATTAGCAATGTTGTTTAATACATATAAGTAAAAAGTGTCGCTAATAGTCTCAGACCTATTATGACAAGTATAATAAAACCTTTATAACAATCAGGTATATTTGAATCAGCCGTTTTGGTTCCCGGAATTATGTTTCCAAATAAATCGGAACACCAGCATGTCTTTACTCCATCGATAAGTTCACACTGTAATGCTTCGAAGGCACCATTGAGGGTACATTTAGGATACTGGCAATTTCCTGTTGCGCTATTGCGGATCTGTTGACAATTTGTCATGTCTTCAGTTCTACCCTGTACCTCTTTATAAAAAAAAATTGATATACAATATCATTTATTTATCTTTATATTACATAATTATAATAATTTGATTTGAAAAGTAATCAATCATTGATTCTTTTGAAAAAAAGCCAACCTTCATTGTTAGTTCAATATTTTCCATTTGCGTTCAATATTGACGGCCCGATATCCCGATCGACCTAGCATAACCTAACTTTTGTTGTTATTCTTGATTTTATTCTCGTCCTGAAAAGACATAAAACATTTCCCATCAGACGAGTAGCAAGCAACAAACAATCAGTCATATATTAGAAGTTTTCGACACTCGTGAATCTTGCTTGTTATGTAATGGATTATAGTCATTTGGTACCCTTACCATTTCGTTCCTAATTGAATATTTATATGTATGCAATTTCGTTCCTCATGTAATATTTATATTTATTTTAAATGATATGAGCTAATCAGTCCTAAAACAAATAAATCAACATGTGTAATACTGTTGTAGTCGCCCTGTTGACATAAATCATGAGTAAATATTCTTTTTTGTCCAATCCGATACGGGAAAAAGGCCAAAAGCAATACTGGATTTTCACTTCCGGTGGTAAATTTTCGCTTCCTTATAATGTTTGACATAACTTAAACTGGAATAGACGGATCTAAAAGAAAGAGGAATAAAGACACATTTTGCAAGTTTAAATAACAAGCAAATTTAATTTATGGTCCGTTTTTGTTACGATTTGTGGAAACACCCTACAACCTTTCCGAGTAGAATTTTCAATTTATTATCTTTGTTTCATTTCAGCGATCAGTATGATAAAATGAGATACATTTCTAGTATTACATGTAAGTGATATTCAATTGGAAATAATTTACTGCAATCGGACCAGGACTTTATTTTGTTTGTAAAGCGCTTAATGTTTGTGTAGCCGAAACTTCATAGAAAGCTTTATCTGATTTTTACACGTATTATTTAACAGAAGTTAATATTCATGTGAATCAAATGAATTATTCATAATACAAAATTATCGATTAATCGTTGCAATGTAAACAATGCACTACAACTGTAAAATAGTTTTAAAATGCATTTGCTGCATCGCCGATAAGTCATGTGACCAATGATTGATTTAACTTTCTTATTTTATAGGATGGAGTTTGTGCTTCGCTGTAGTCATTTATAATATTTCTTTAAAATGTAACAAATTCAAATATGAAAGGAAATTTACTACGGGTTCACACTCCTATTATTTTTTTTATATTTGATATATGCCATCCAAAAAATAGAAATAATGCTATACAAAGAATCAACAATTAAATTACAAACAAGTGCATTTAAGGATGTTCGTTCCTCTGTTTCAAAATAACAAACTTTTTAAAAGACTGTTATAAATTCAAAGTAAATAAATAATGGATTTTAAAAGGAAGAAAAAAAAGGCAGGTCTGTGTCCTTGTATTTGAGATGTAATCAATTGAAAATTTGGTGGGAAATGATTCTCTCTAGATTTTTCATACATTTAACATTGACACCTTTTTTTTCAAAAATGTTTTTTTTTAACTTTACAAATTTAAGGTAGGGGTAAGCGGGCAAAATTTTCATTCATTTGGCACTATACATAGATAAATCTCGAGAATTCTGAATATCTGATAAAAAGTCAAAAACAAGAGTAGTAAACATTTTTTACATTTTTATTCATTTTATATGTTTATGAAATAAAAAAGGATTTTAATTGGACAAATACCTCTTGCAATGCATTGTTGGCCATTCAAATCCGGACATACACATTTATTCGAACGGCTATGTAACGTCAGCCTTGGGGACGGCAAGCATAAATAACGACACCCTCCGTTATTGATACCACAATAATTACATCCTGATGGATACATATCAAATAGAATCGTTATATTGAATAAAAACAAATAGAATTATTATATCAATACATTATAAACATTCAGATAGAATTGATTAGAAACTTTGTGAAATGTTGTTTTAATTTTTTATAATAGTGAAACATTTAAAAAGAAAACCCATTAATAAATGTTCCACAGTATTACAAGTCGCAACTGTACACGTTTAAAGATATCTGAACATCGGTTAACTTCTGATGCCTAAATTGATTTGTTATACATGCCTTTCTGTAACCATCATTAGTGTCAATTGAGACCATTAGATTGCAATGAATGTTGTCTATGTTTTTCGTAAGAGAGATGCAACGAAAGAACAAATATGATAAAATAACTGCTGTAAACTTTGTATTTCCTAGGGAAAATATAAACACAGTGTCATTAGTATACCTATGTATGCACATGACTTATAAAATAATAAAAAGGTTTAACATTTTAGGCAATCTTTAAGAAGTATTAAGTAAATCCACTATTAAAAAAATATAATAGTAATATCTTTGATAACTAATTCATATGCGCAATGCACATCACGGATTTTATTGAACAATGATTACTGTTGTGTGTTTTACGAAGAGAATAATACGGTAACAATTACCTTTCCCAGTTGGACCAAATACTTCCAGTCCATATGGCTTATTTGTTGTTCCTAGTTGATAAGGTTTAGACTGATGTTTATTTTCTGCTTTGTTGATCATCTTGAGAGAGCCCGATTTGTAATTCGCCCATATAACATGAGAACCAGATATAGCAAGGTCAAAGGAACTGTTCATGTCTGTTTTTAAAGTGATAACAACTGTGACGTCACTTCCATCAAATTTTGACGATTTGATGTCATGAAGCTTGTCATCTACCCAATAAATCCTGTGTTGATTTTTATCTAAAAAGATATTTAAAATAAAATATTGTAGCGAACCTGATTTGCACTCTATATAATTAATAATTGTGGGCTCAGGCTTAAACACAATTGAGATAATTATTAAATAGATAACATCTAATCTTTCTAAGTCTGGCATATATACCAACAGTAATACATTATTCCAGCAAAATGAATATCACATTATATAAATGATAACAATGAACAAAACAATCATTTGATGCATTTCATAATTTGGTAATTTGGTGAAACTTCCCAAGCATTAGAATTATTTTCTATAGAATCTTTAAAGGAAATTGTAATTCCAATATGAAATCCTTTTTACTATAAATTGTGTTTAAATTATGATATAAACAATTTCTGAACTTTGGGAATAAATGTCGCACCATCTGTAATATTTTGTGCTATTCAAAGATTTTTTCGAATTTGAAGACAGACCCTCTTGCGCTTGCATAGTCAAGAAATGAGTGATTTTAAATGTAGATTCCCCGAAATTTTGGTGAAATATATTGCTTTATGTTTTATAAGTTCCGTACCACATCACTTTGGTTCAGTAATTGCCTCTTTAGATTTAAGTATGCCGCACTGCTTGGTTATGGCATAGGAAGCCCGGATTTTGTACCAGCTTGATTTGTATAGCAACGATCACAACGCCCCCTAGATTTAGCACGGAGAAAATGGCGTAAAGTAAGGGAATAAACGAAACGATATGGGAAAATGCATATATCGTTAATGAATAATAGCTGTTAAACATACACACACAAGGTAATTAATCTACCAGTGGTCCAATCAGGTTAATTATTGATTCCCATCCCAAAATAAGTAATCTACATTCCAAAAATAGCGATCACACAACTGGTAGAAAAATGGCAGTGAAAATAGAAATATTGTTTGCGGAACTAATATGTTTGCACGGCAAAATAATATGTATTCATAATATACATAATATGTTGTCTGTTCTATGGTCGGGTTGTTGTCTCTTTGACACATTCCCCATTTCCATTCTCAATTTTATAATATAAAATAGATATAAATACATGATGCATTTGTTTAATAATGATATTGGAATCAACGTAGCATTATATTTCATGTTTTTATAATGCAAGCTCTACCTTCTTAACATTCCCGTAAACCCTGTGAATATAACAAAAAGGTATAGCTAGTATATACCCATTGTTATAGCACCTGGTGCACTTATACCAGTCTTTACAAGAACCTGTTGTTTACTTCCATCCATTCCAAAACGGATGATCTTCGGAACTTCACTGGAATCGGCCAAATACATCCATCTGAATAAAATTTGAATAAAGAATAGAAAAAAAACCCCGAATAGATATTAAAAGACAAGCACATGTATTTTCTGTACATAGAAATAAATTGAATTTTATTTTTACTATTTATTGTTTAAGCATTTACAGCTCCCAGGATTTATGAAAAAGCAAATTGATCTGTATTGTATTGTATTGTGTCAGCTATAGGTTTGTTGTTATGTCTTCACAAAAAACTACTAATCTTGTTCCATTTTTTGTTTACATATAATTTGTTTTAGGTATTTGGCTTATTATTTTTAAATTCACGATTTTCTGAATTTTGAATTGTGATCTATGATCCGCATTTTGAAGTGAATTGTTATTTTCGGCATTATTTTAGATTCCTTATGAGTAATCGGAATAACTTTTTAACCATACCGCCCAGCCTTTAAATAATTTTATATTTATCGATGATTGATATTTTGTTCTTTCCTTGCATCAGACTCAGGATCTAAACGGCAGATATTTAATTTATGTAGCCCGCCGAAACATGTATTTTTTCGTTGTTATTATAATTTTCATAATATATGTGTGTGTACTTGTTCTTTATATCTATGTAATGTCATGTATGGTGAATGTTTTATGGTTTTGGCCAAATAAATGCATGAGATATATACTATAACATTCTTTTAACATTAATTGTCAATCAAACTCATTTACGTTCCGTACTCTTTAATCAAAGTTGAAATTTGAAATTATTTATTTTTTTAAGTAAACCTGTTAAGGCCAAACTTGGTCAGTGTTTTTTTCCTGAAGAGTTTATGTGGTTACCTGTTATATGAAGCACATAAAACTAAAAGTACTTTTTATATACTATTAATGTTTGTCCACGATAGTGCATTATACCATACATAAAGCTTGTCAATGTTTATAGGATATATAATTTAATTTGTTCTAAAAGTGTTTTTTTTTTGGTCGACGACTTTAACTTTGTTACAAAATAAGAACATACCTTTCATAAGGATCTAAAGCTAAGTCACTCATCTGCGTAGCTTTATCTTTATACACCGTCTTGATATGAGACCCATTAAGCCTACAGACCTGGATTGTAGATCTTCCTGGATCAAGCCAGTAAAGATTCTCGTGAATCCAGTCAACTTCTATATCACCGATGGAAGAAATATGGTCAACAATAACTGTTTGATTAACAAGAGTTCCCGGCAGATAACTCGCCTTACAAAACGATGATGAATGTTATATATTATTTAACTTATTAATTATCAAAATAATGTATAAATGTTTATTTACTTGTTTAAAGTCCAGCTAAGACACCATAGAAAACACAAGCTCTCAAGAGCTTATATCCGACAATGAAAACATAAACATCTACAGTAATACAGTTCAAGCAAAGTTAGCAACGAAAACAAGATGGCGGGTACACTTTATAAAAATATTGTCTTATAATAAAAATCTCAAAGCAATATAAAATTTGTTGGTACAGGTAATTCAAAAATAGAAATAGGTAAACATATATATATATATTTTTAATTTACAACTGGCCCATTTGATGGCTGCTTAAGATTTAAAAAGTCTCTCACGTTCTCATGTGTCTAATTGTAAAGGAGGGCATCTGAGCTACACCCAGCAATGTTTTATAATCTGAAAGATAATCATTATATTTAAATCTCAGAACCATCTTCTGAGTTTTTTTAAAATAAAAATAAAATTTGAAAGTATAAAGGTGTGAAATATAGCAAATATGTATGTTCAGTAATTCAATTGCAATATTCAATTGTTTAGTTGTTGTTCGATTAAAAAACCCAGTAGCAAATATTTAATTTGTTTAGAACAAATTAGCAGTAAATCCAACAAGTTAATTCTGCTAAGTTGGTAGACCGGGTTAGAGGACGATTAAATTAGAAGTTTGGCCTAGGAAATCCAAAAATTAAGATCTACTTATAAAAAATAATTAAGTTTACATCATTATAATATGCTGTAGTCTAACCTTTTGATTTTGTAATCTTTCACACTTTCTTCTACCCAGAAAATGAAACCTTTGGAAAACAGCGAAGAAACAGCAAATGTTTGAGTATTTGAGTACAAATCACGTCTCGAAATGAAATTTGGCAGACTGAATTCTTGTAGACCACGTTCTGAGGAAACTATCAAAAAGTCTATAAAAGAAAACATACAATGGCACATTATTGATATATGGGCATTAACTATCCCTCTTTTTATTTCAAACCTTTGATAAAAATATATACTTTAATATTATACAGCAAACCCAAGGGAATACAAATTGAAACGGCATTTAATATTTTTCATGTTGAACTTTACAAAAACTAATCAATATTTTTTAAAATATTTACACGTTATTTATGGTTTTTGTTTGTCTTTTTGAGTTAAATGTCATGGTAATATGTAAATTGATATTTTGCTGTATTTAAACATTCAATCATTATCATGATTTGTGTATATATATTTATTATACAAATATGTTTATGTGTATATATTATGTCCTCTTGTACACGTATGTATCTGATGTTTGAAAATAAAGTATTGTCTATATTGTCAAGAAAACAGTATCATACATTCATAATTCAAATATGTAATTTAGGTGACAATTATTTCAAATGCCTTGAATAGAGGAAAATGTTATTTTTAAGAATAAAAAGTTATATTTTATTTTTTCTGCTATATGCATTTTTTTTCTGTCAGACTTAGGTTGACGATTTAGAGCTTAACGAATTGTTCAAACACCTGTCTGTCATTTAATACCGTATGTTAGCCTTTAACTCTTCTTTGATTTTTTTACGATAGATCGCTGTTTCATTGACGTATTATACCCTATATCTACATCTTATTTTAGTCGTATATTACATGTAACACTATATTTGTAGATTCTCATCATGAACTGACTAAAGACAAACCTCAAATTAATAATTTTCACATTGTTTTTTTTTATTATTTTTCAATTTAGTTATATTATTATATATCCATGATGTATCTGCTGGGTGCCAATTATTGTCACGTTAGCCAATTATTTCTGCTTGGATTGCTTACATTGTATTTGTCAATTAAACAGAACTATATATATATCACTGTCATACAAGTGGGATGTTTATCTAGCTGTAAAACCAGGTTTAACCCACCATTTTCTTCGGAAAAAGTCTGTACCAAGTCAGTAGTATAACAGTTTTTATTCTGTTGTTTTGTCGGTTGATATAGTCGAGTATTTTGGGGTTTTTTAAAAGTTTGTTTTATGGACTTACTCTTTTTGAAATCAAATTTGAGTTCAGAATTTTCAGTTAATATGCTTTGTGTTTGCATATTATTTATAGTTACCAGTTTACAAAATGTTATGAAACCTTATCTTTTTTTCGTAAATGAGTTGTCCAGTGATAACAATTTTTTTAAACATGACATACTTTATGTCAGTTATTGTCACCTTAACCTATTATGTATGTTTGGGTTGTTTATGCAATTTTGTCAATATAACGGAACTATAAACAACTGTCATGGAAGTGGGAGGTTTAGATAGCTATTAAACTAGGTTTAAACCACAATTGTCTTCGGAATATTCTGTTGGTTGTATCAAGTCAGGATTTTGACAGTTGTCTTTCACTCGTTTCGTTGATTGATAACGTTTGATTTCTGTCGGATTTTTTTAACTTCTCTTTTTTGAATTTACCTTAGATTTTGGTATTTTTTTAACTACCTTTTAAATTAATTAATGAAAAAGCGCTTCTG